AGTTCATCCTGAGAAGGGCCTTGCTGCACAGAGACAGGACCTTCCCCCGAGTTAGGGTTCCATGTCGGGGTCTCAGTCCTCTGGCTGGACCAGACAGTGGGCTACAAGATTCCTCGAGCCCCGGCCCACTCAAGAATGAGATTAAAATAGTCAACGGGGACCAGGAAGAAGGATTTTGAGAAGGCTTGAGGACCCAAATTGAATCCCCAGAACCCATGTAAAATGCTGGGCACTATGGTGCCACACATGTAACATAGCACCAGGGAAGCAGAGCCAGAGGATCCTTGATTTTCCGGGCTCATCAGTCCGGTTGAATTGGTGAGCTTCAGGTCAGTGAGAGACCCTGTATCCAAAATGTAAGGTGGAGAGCAAGCAATAAAGGAAGACTCGATCATTGACTCTTCATCCATGTAAACACACAAGCATATACACATGGACTCTTATGTACACACACACACACACACAAACATATACACATGGATTCTCATGTGCACACACACACATACACACACAAACATATACACATGGACTCTCATATATACACACACACACACACAAACACACAAACATATACACTGAATCTCATGTACACATACACACACAAACGTATATACATGAACTCTCATGTGCACACACACATACACACACAAACATATACACATGGACTCTCATGTACACACACACACATACACACATAAACTTATACACATGGACTCTCATGTGCGTGTGCGCACACACACACACACACACACACACACACACACACACACACACTACGATAACCAGGAAGAGATGGGGTCCCAGTCTACATCATGGGTGGGATACCAGCCTTTGTGGTGGAGTAGAGTGGTGCTGGTGGACCCCTTCCCTCACCCCAGCTATGCTGAGCCAGGCCGTAACCTGAAGGTGGGGCAGAGAAGGTGGTGAGGCCCTGAGAATTCAAGGTAGCATTACTTAACTAGCCAATATCAAAATGTTTTAGTGTTTGTACATCAGCCATTGTTCTCCCAGAGTGCTTGTAAGACATAGTTTGGTTAGTAAAAACCCCACTGGCGTGTTATGGGGAGCTCCAGTTTGAGTCAGAACTGGGCCTCTTATCAGTTACACAATTATCATCAGAACAGTGACATTTTTCTTGTCTCCAAATGAAGAGATTTGCACTGTTTGATCCCAGTGCCTCTTATTGCTCTAAAATTTTAAAGAAACAAAATAAAAGCAGTTCGGGAAGAATTCCAAACATGCATTACCTTTATGACAATGTGCGTGTGTGTGTGTGTCTGTCTGTGTGTGTGTGCATGTGTATGTGTTAATGCTGTTTCCTTCTTCTCCAACCTCATATCATGCACAAGTCAAAGAAATAGACTTGAAGGAAGGATTTGAAGGGATTATTTGTCTTAGGTAGTGTGGTGCATGTTCTGGAAATTGTAGAAAATGTTGGAAAAAAAGAGAGACAGGTTTGAATTCTAACTTGTCTATAGTTACATGTTACATGTATTCATTTATTCATCAATATTTATGGGACTTCTGTCAAGCACTGGGCGTTGTTCCAGGCTCTGAGAATGGAAATGAAGGCAGGAAGGTCCCTACTTGATGGACCATCTAGAGTCAACTGGATAAGTCTTTAAATTTCTTTGTACCTAATTTATCTATAAATGTTTTGATGGTGAATGATACTGTCACTCCCTAGTCTACTTTTGTGATAGACATCACTAATCAACTCCAAATGATCCTTGATTTATGATGGATTGACTTTGGATTTTTAAACTTCTATGTGTATATGTATGGTGTATGTGTACATGTGGGTGCAAATGTACACACCTGTGTGTGCACATGGAGGCCAAAGGAGGGCATTGGGTGTCCTGCTTAATTACTTTCTGCCTTATTTCTTTGAGATTGAATCTCTCCCTGAACCAGAGTTTGAATTTTTGGGTTAGGCTGGTGGCCAGCAAACTCGGATGATAATCAATGCTGGGATTCCAGGCATGCACAAGACCGTAGCTGGCTTGTTACATTGCCAACTCTATGTGACTCCAGGTCCTCCTGGTAGCCTAGAGAGGACTCTTTACCACTGAATCAGACTTCTAGCCCTGGATTTTTCAACTTTTGATGGTGGAGAATCGTATCTACACAACCATCGTGGTTTCCACTTTTAGTACAGTATTATGTGGAGGCCCACAAAGGTTTCCTAATGAGATCTGAGCTTGCTTTAACCAGCAGGGCTGCATTAGAGGATTGCTTGACCATGTGTGTGGTTCCTAGGTGATTGGAAGGATTTGCACTTGGCTGGGCTAGGGGGAGGTCTTTTGCTTCACCCCTTGGCATTCCTATAAAAAGCCCTTTAGAAGAGACAGAAGGGGCTAGTGGAAAATGATCCAGACCCTCCCGAGGCTATCCTGTGGTTCTATTTGTTTCTCTCTCCTCTATCCTTCTACCTCTATATTTCTACCTCAATCTCTTATCCCTCTCTCCTCAAGAGTACCCTGTAAGATAGGTTTTATGTAAGATGATTTTGTTCAACTCTAGGCTAATATGTGCTCTAAGTGCATTTAAGATAGACTAGGCTAAGTGCTAATGATTGGTAGATTAGGATAGTAAGTGCATTTTTTATATTTAATTTTTGCCATTGAAATTTTTGAGGACACAGTCCCATCCTAAGTCAAAGAACATCTGTCTTATATTCCCAACAGCCACGGTCAGCTAATGGACTGCAAGCCTATATGCTCTCCTGTCCTAGATGGATTCTGAAATGTCATTCTTGCCAATTAATTTTGATTATAAAGGACACATAAGATGATGCAGAGGGAAAAACACAGCAGAACTATTAAATCTACAGAGTTGATAAGAAAATGCCCGTGCTTTTGACTTGGTTGGGAACCAAAACTACGTATCTTTGCAAAGTTATTTTAGCTGTTTGGGTTGAGAGCTCTCCCTTTACAGACCCTGGCTGCAGGGCCCTTTGATCCCAGGGTGAGCAAAACCTCTTTCCCGAAGCTTCATTTTTCCTGTGTGAGGTTGCTTTGTTGTATGCTTCAGGCTTCCTGGCACAAATGTGGCTGTCCGGCCTCTTCTGCCTCCCTCCACATACAGAAGCCAAGCCAAGGGTGAGCTAAAATCAATCTTTTTGATGAACTATCTTCAGAGTCTAAAGACCTCTGCAGTATTTCCATTTACAGCCTCATAACAGACCAGCAAGTCCTCTGTGCCCAAATGGAGCTCCAATTCATGTCATGATTTAGATGCTTTGGGGGAACTGGCTTGCTTAATCCTATTAAATATATATACAAGGGCTGGTGATTCTAAAAACTGCTTTTGGGATTTTCAGATCATATTAAACTCAAGGTACTTCTACACTTACTAAAGTTTGTATCTCTTTGGGAAGTGAGCTGAGGCGCCTGGCCTCCCAGGCTGAGGAACCTGTAATATGTACCAATACTGTGAATTTGATGACTCTTACAGAAACCAGCTCTTCTCTCCAGGAGTCCCGGGAAGAGTGGGTTTCCATCATTGAATTATGGATGTTTAAACCCAGGAGCATTTATTTTAAGAAGGAGAAAGGCATAGTTATTCCTAGGTCAAGGGAATATGGAAAATAGAAATGTATGCTTAGCCTTCATTAAAACGGTAGATGTTAGATAAAGAACCCAAGGGCCTGGTTTCCCCTAGAAGATCTGTTGTGGATATGCCTATGCTCCAGAGCCCATGCTTGGGAAAGAAAGCGGAACCCATCTCCGTTTTTAGGGATGCAATTAGGTATTTCGTGCAGAGGTGATATGTTGAGTGGAAATGGAATCCACACCAAAATGAGGTTGATATACATCAGTGATAGGATGTGCTTGCAGCATGTGTGAGAGCCTGGGTTTGATCCCCAGAACTGCAAAACCAGAATAATACAAAAAGTAGTGTAAATTCAAAAGCACCGATTCCACAACCAAATTGCTTGAGTTTGAGCCCCAGCCCCACCTCTTTTTATTTATCCCTCTGTAAGGCTCAGGCTTTCATCTGTCAAGTGCTGTGCTCAAGGACCCACTTGGTCATTTACTGTGAAGTTCAGTGATATTACCCTTGTGCTTGTCACGCTGCCTGGCATACACCAAATGTTAGTTAGTACAACTGGCAAACTGTGCCTCTGTTTCCCCATCTGTACCCTAGTCATGATAATGAAGGTTCAATAAGGTAATACATGTGTAATGTTTATACTGCTATATACTGATTGTACCATCATGAGTTCTGTCAAAGTGTTAACATCATAACTATAACACAGATTGAAAATTCTCTCCTAGCATTAAAGGGCTGTATGCAATGTGGGTAAGAACACAAAAGCAAGCTAGAGATATAACTTAATGGCAGAGTGTTTGCCTACCTTGTGCAAGACCCTTGAGTGCCGCAAAGAAAATAGATAGATTAGATAGATAGATAGATAGATAGATAAATGATACATAGATATATAGATAGATACATAATGATAGATAATAGATACATAGATGGATGGATGGATGGATACATAGATAGATAGATAGATAGATAGATAGATAGATGATACATAGATAGATAGATAGATGATACATAGATACATAGATAGATACATAATGATAGATAATAGATCCATAGATGGATGGATAGATGGATAGATGAATAGAAAGGTAGATAGATAGATAGATAGATAGATAGATAGATAGATAGATAGATAGATAGATAGGTAGATAGATGTCCTTATCACTTCTGAACTTTGTAAACTTAGCCTTGGACTTACCACAGAATGGGACTAATAACAAAAACTTGAAGTTGTAATGACAACTAATGAAGACAGCCTTGCTGATGTGTTTAGTTAGCATGGTGGATTCTGGCTTAGATTCTGTGTTCTGTGAATGCTTGATCACGTTTTTAGGCTATTGCTTTAATAGTCTGGCCGGAACTGGGAGCCCGGGGTGCCAGGAAGGGTGTGCCTTGGGAAGGGATGCTTCTCTGGAGACAACTGAAAGTGAACTCTATGCTGGTTACAGATGCAGTTGCTCTCCTCAGTTTCCCGTATGCCTCCAGTGGAGAAAACACTGGCATCGTGAAGAAACTCCCGAGGTTCCGGAACCGAGAGCTGGAGGCCACTCGAAGCCAGCGCGTGGACTACCCCATGTAAGGAGGGCAGGTGGTGAGCTAGTGGGGTGGGTCTGTTTGTATCTGACCACCTGGCAGCTAGTGGGGAAAACTCCTTCCAAAGACACAGCTTGGCAAGGCGCTGTGCACAAATGCTTCAAGAGAATCGGAGAACCAGGAAACTTTAATGTACATGGAAATTATTTCTGCACACGGGAGCCTTCCATTTTCCTCCATCTTTTTGGGCTGGTCCCAGAGATGGCATGAGCAGGCAGCGAGGTGTTGAGGCTCAGGCCTTCCGAGGCTTCAAGTGCAGCCATCCAAAGCCAGCAGAGATTGTAGTCGTGGCCTTGGCCGGTTCCGTCCTGGAAGATTGGATGAGCTGCTAGAACACCCTGGGCCTCTGATCTCCTCCATCGACTTCAGCAGAGCCCACATCTATTTTTCCTTCTGCTGAGCCGAAGATGCTGGAAATGGCTCCTAGCTCACCTCCGATCAGATGGATTTAGCCGAGTGCTTTAATTCTTCCTGTGCTGCTGGCGGTAAAAAGATCTTGAGTCACTCACCGAGCGTATGTTCTCGCTAAGCTTCCTTGTAATAACTTATCTTCATGAGCTTGCTCAGCTGGGCGGGTCAGGAGGGAAGTCTGCGACACCATCTGTTTGCATATTGTGACACTGACTTCAGGGCCAGGTTACAAAGCCCAGAATATTCTGAAAGAGTTCTTTGGCTGTACCTCCCCAAAGAACTGAGGGCCACTGTGTCATAACCCAGGCTTCTGTTTAGCTACGGGGCTAAATCGAAAGAGCGGGATGCATTTGTTTGACATTGAGTCATGTGTCTGTCATACACGTGTTGATTCCCTGTTCCTTGTCTCTGAGCGATTGGTCTCCAGCACGGTGTGGAGCCTCCCACAAGTGTTTAGCAAATATTTCCTGAGTGACGGGTGTATCATGTATCTGGACTCAAACTGTCCTAATTGAGTTTGCGACCTGTTATTTTAGCCTCATTCCGTAAATCACAGATGTACAATTCTTCCCCTTCTCTATGCGTGTGGGCATGTATGTGTTTTGTATGTGTGTAGGCAGACGTGTGCGCGTGCATTCGGAGGCCAGAGGTCAGCCTTTCGGCTGTTCAGTTTGTTTTTGAGGCAGGGTTTATCACTGGCCTGGAACTTGCCAACTGGGGTGGGCTGGCCAGTGAGCCCCAGGGATTCTTCTGTCTCTGCCTCCCCGGGGCTGGGGTTGAAAGAAGGCAGCGTGGCTGCTGGCCTTTTGCCCGGGCTGCTGGGTATCTTACCTAGGTTTTCGTGTTTGTAAAGCAAACACTTGACCAACTGAGCCATCTACTCTGTCATAGTGTCCTCCCCCTCCCCCAACTGAAATAGCCCCATGCAGGAACGGAATAATTAGATGAGTTGTTCCATATTGATGGGCTGGAACTGGGCTACCGAAACACTGTAATGCGAGTGTTGAGATGGTGCATTTGTGTCCACATGTCACGTGGAGATGCCATTTGCAGAGCATTACATTTGGGGCTTTTATCTTTGAAAGAAACAAAATTGCTCAAAAAGCTCTAATTATGTTTTTTTTTTTTTTTACCTTTTAATCACAGATATTAAAATAGCTCCTTATCACATCGCCTCTTATTAAAACTCCGTATTTTTATTCACTGTCTCGCTGTATCAGCCTCAATCAGGAATTCAAATCGGTGGCACGTGAGCATCTCCGAGAGCCCCGGAACAGTTTTGGTGCAAGGTAGAATGTCAGCGAGTTTTGTACAAAGGAGCTTAACTCTAATCTTTGCAGTTACTATAACTACCTCCTTTGTCTCAAAATCTCAGGCTTTGCAAGCTGATCTCCCATGATGAACACCAAGGCAAACCCACCCCTTCGTTAGAAAGAAAGCAATTTACTTGGTCATTGTTAACTGTAATTACCTGTTCTTGGATGATATCAATCTGCAGAATTTTCTTCCGCCTCCCTCCTTTAGGGTTACCGTTTCACTGTGGCTTTATTTACTCCATTATTGTGAGGCCAGTCTCTGTGGAATTCTGTACTTTGTTGATTCTAATGAGATGTACGGCACACCTTCTGTGTTCCTTACAGAAGAGGGTGAGTATAAACAGAGCCTCTAAATGATCTTGTAGTTTTCTCATACTCTTTCTCCTGGCGGAAACATCTGTCTGGGATAAGGAAGACGCTGTCAGCACTGCGGCTCTATGAGGTTAAAATGAACATTATTCTGCAAGCAGCCAGTGGTTATTGAATGGGCATTGTAATTATGCCACTTAGATGTGGAATCCAATAAAATGGGAATGGAGAAAGAAAGGCATGTTCCTTCTACAAATCAAAACAAAAAAACAAAACCAAAAAAAAACAAAAACAAAAACAAGTTGATTATTTTTTGGGTAGACTTGGAGAAGTAATCTTACCAGAAATGATTGTGGAATTATGACAACTTGTAAAGTTGGGAAAATAAATTGATGGGATCTAGATGAGCCTTTGGTTCACGTTGTTAGACAAAGGTGTCTTTGTTTTCTGTTCATTTGGAAACAGAAATTGAAAATAGAAACTGGGTGTTGTTTATGCAGACAAGACCATAGGGAACCAACTGTGAGCTCCAAGTCAAGTCTTGTTTCTCCCCTTAGGGGCTCAAAATAAATATCTTACTTACAAAGAAATGCATGTACAATGCAGTTTTGGGGTGTTGCTGGTTTGGTTTTTGCTTTGCCCTTCCTTCCTTCCTTCCTTCCTTCCTCCCTCCGTCCCTCCCTCCCTCCCTCCGTCCCTCCCTCCCTCCCTCCGTCCCTTCCTCCCTCCGTCCCTCCCTCCCTCCCTCCGTCCCTCCCTCCCTCCCTCCGTCCCTCCCTCCCTCCGTCCCTCCCTCCCTCCCTCTCTTTTTCCTTCCTTCCTCCTTCCTCCCTCTCTCCTTCCCTCCCATTTTCCTTCCTTCCTTCCTTCCTTCCTTCCTTCCTTCCTTCCTTCCTTCCTTCCTTCCCTCCCTCCCTCCCTCCCTCCCTCCCTCCCTCCCTCCTTCCTTCCTTTCTTTCTTTCTTCCTTCCTTCCTTTCTTTCTCAAAGCTCCCCTATCTAGGAAGGTGGGAACTTAAGGCAGACTGGACTGGAACCATCACTCTCCATCCTCCTGCCTCAGCCTCTGGTGCTAGGATTACAGGTGTGCAACAACACACTGCACTTGGCTTGACTTGGCTTTGTTTAAAGGGGGGGGGAGAATGTGATTTATTCTTGTAACTTCTTTAGGAGAATTATTGAAAAAGCATCGCCTCTTCACATACCATAAGGTGCTCCTTGCCAGTGTCATGACCTTTCTTCTTCCTTGTAGGCGGTTTGCACATTCAAATGCATCTTGTCAAAGGAGAGGACCTGGCTGTAAAAACAAAATTCACCCTCCCTCTGAAGGAGTGGCTCCGACTGGATATCTCTTTCAATGGAGGCCAGGTATCTCTGCATCACTCTGCCTGGAGTCACGGGAGCATCTCTTTTGAGCTAAACATTGTTGTGAGCCCAGAGAGTTAAAAAACCTGGGAGGGAATTTGGCAAATGATAAGCTCGTTACAATTACACACTTGCTAAATCGAACTTTATAGATGGAAGTTTAAATCATAAGAGTCTCATCCCATTTAATTAACTTTTAAAGTGCTTCTACTCCACTCTATGGTGAAGGAGTAAATAATACAGCCAGCTCTGTAGCCACAATTATCTGAGTTATTCAGTCCTTCTCCCCTAGGGAGATAGGCTTTGTGCACATAAGTGTGTCAAAAACACATTGGCCATGTTTACATGGCCTTCTTAGATCTACAACTTTTTTTAAGGGCATTTATTGGCTAGTTCAGCTAAGAAATGATTTGACTGCTTTTGGCAGTTGAGACAATTGCTTACGTTTGGCACTAAACACACTCATAATAACCAACGCGTGTAAGTGATGGTTGTAGTGGAATGGAGGGTCTTTATCTATTCTGTACATAAAACATTGCTCATAACTGTTTCAGAACCCCGTAACAGAGATTTTTATGGATTGTGGGAAATCTGTTGTTGTAATTGAAGACGATTCCATTTCTCCATCGATGCAAGGCTGGCATGCAAGCCTTTTTTCCGGTTACTTTATTTTCTCATCAGCTTTTCCTATTGATTTGTGATTTTCCTGGAACAAAACTGGAGGAGACATTTTATTTGTCTCGTGCCTTAGATAATGCATGCTCCTCCCTTGTGCTTAAGGTTCCCACAATTCTGTTTTCCGAAGAGAAAAAAAAATTAATCAGGTTGGCTCTTGCTGCCTTCCTGAGAGGGCTGAGTGAGATGCCAGCTGGGAATTTTCATGTGTTATTTTTTTTCCTTAAAAAAAAAAATTCAGTAACATAGCTGAGGTCCATGTCACCCATGCCCATATATGTGAGGCACAAGATATGTCACCAAGACAGGCATCAAATCATCAGAGCAGATTCATAGATCTTATTCTGCACCTGCTGTATGCAAGGCACCGGGCTCCAGTTACTTATATACTATTTATGGAAGTAACATTAAGCACGTGAAGAGAAGTCATAAAGCAAGCTTAATTGCCAAATGATTCATATTGATTTCTAGAAGGAAGATAGCGTTCCATGCTGGGATGCTCAGGAAAACGTTCATGTACAAGGTTTTGATGTTTGGGCAGAATTTTAAAAGGAGAAGAAAGGAGGGGGGTTTTCTGCACATGATTGGGAAGTTCACAGATAAGCCAAGTTGACTAGTGTTAGTCTGTTGCTACCGACTACCTGGAGACAAAGAAGTTAATTCCTCATCGTTTTGAAAGTTATTGCTGGCATCTAGTGAGAGGCCTCTCGCTGCATTACAACATGTCATGGGCATCGCTAGATGATAGCCAGAGAGAATATTCTGGCTCAGATCTCTCTTTCTCTTCTTAATTTTTTAAACACATCTACATACATATATATTTATTTTAGTGTGTATGATTTTTATATGTGAGTGCTGGTGTTCACATGCTACAGGACATATATGGAGATCAGAGAGGATAATTCATGGGAGTCAAGACTCTCTTTCCACTATGTGGAATGAAACTGGGGTCATCAGACTTGGTGGCCCCACCCTTACCCGTTGAACCACCTACTGGGCCCTCTCTTCTTAGGTAGCTGCTGATCCCATCAAAGGGTCCTATCCTCATGGCTTCCTGGAACATGAATCCCAGAGTTTTCACCTCCAAATACCATCAACACATACATTTAGGAATCAAATTTCCAAAATACAAACTTGAGGGCTATAGAAAACTAATGGAAGAAAATTTGCATCTTTGGGACTAGAATGTGTGGAACCTTGGATTTGGACTTCAGCTTGCAAGGCGGTAGGGAATCATAGATAACGTTCATCAACCAAAGAGTATAGTCCCTTAGGTAGAGAAACGAGCTGCATGGTGTAATGTGTATGTGGTGGGATGAAGCCACAGAGGCGTAGGAAGGGCAGAAAGATGGAAAGAAAAGCAGGGCTGTGTGTGTGTGTGTGTGTGTGTGTGTGTGTGTGTGTGTGTGTGTGTGTGTGTTTGCGTTCTTCTGCCAGTGGGTTTCAGATACTTCCAGACTTGCCTTTCTTTCTGCCTCACCTGGACCCCTTCATGGACATAGGTCCAGACTTCTGGTGGGATTGCCACACTCACTGCTTTGGCCAAGTGAATCCCTCACTTAAAGGTAAATGGTTGCTAAGAGAGACAACTGGTTGAGTCATTTTCTCTTCTCACTACCCCCTATGACTGGTAGGGCTGGTTTCTAGTGATTTAGTTTGTCTTCTGCAGGCACAGGGTGGTCTCTAAGTCCTTGGGACTCTAAAAAAGATCAGGACACATTCGCTAAACACTTCTCGTAGAAGTATCAGAGGACTCACACAGTATCCCTAGGTCTAAAAAGAACCTACTTGAGACAACACATAACATCATGAGAAGAACATTGTACTCGCTGAAATGAGGGTGATGACTGTTGCTGCTTAGGAGATGAGAGTTGGGGCCAGCAAGCCGTGAAGATCATACAGGACGTGTCTTATCTCCCCTATGGCTCCAATAAAATTAGTAAAACTTCAAAACCAACTTGTACTGCCAGATGCGTTTCCTCGCCTTCTTTATGAGTTTAGAAGCACAGACACATCCAATCAACCTCTGGCTTGACGTCTGGAAGCATCCAAAACCCACTGGCAGAAATTGCATTGTAGATATTTTTAGACACACCATCCAGTCATTTGGGAAAGCTAAATTTATTAAGTCTTAAAATACACACAGGGCTAGTAAACTGTTAATTTTATTTTTGTAGAAATTAATCAGGAGACTGACAAGGACATTCCATGAGTAATTTATACCAAGGACCGTATGTATTTATAGCATGGGATGTACATACCTACCTGACGCTTCTCTCTCTCTCTCTCTCTCCCAACGTAGATAGTGGTCACTGCCAGCATTGGATGGGACTTGAAAAGCTATCATAATCAGACCATTAGGTAAGTGTGGCTTTCATTCCTAAGTAGACTGCTCTAGGGCTGCTTCATGCTGTAGTCTTCATGCTGTAGCCCTCAACCATAAGAGTGTTCTACACACCCCTTTCAGCTTTTCCAAGACAGACTATTTTTTTTTTGGTTGTTTTTAGTTCGTTCTTGTCTTTACGTTTTTATCCCCTATTACCTGCTCCCTGCCCTGCATGTGTGTGTGCACACTTGCTGTGTACAGATGCTGTGGCGTACATGTGGAGGTCAGCCATGTTGGACATGTGTAGGTCGGCCACCATGTGCATGTGGAAGTCAAAGGATCATCTACAGGAGTTGGTTCTCCCCTCCCACCATGTAGGTCCCTGAGATCAAACTCAAGTGGCTTGGTGGTAAGTGCCCCAATGTGTTATGAACCCACTGAACCATCTCTGGGCCCAAGCTAGACTTTGTACTTTTTAATTTTACGAGGCATCTATTTTTCCTGCATATATATATGTTTTTATATATATATATGAAATATATATTTTGGTACTAAGCAAGGGAAAGTAGTCAATCTTTTTTCTGAATCTCGCCATAAATTCTTCCTTTGTAGCACTTTGTAATTTATTTTCTTTGAAAATTATCTTTTACAAAGGATTCTAAAGAAAATAAATCCAAGTATTAATGTTGCTCATTGTGAACGGCTGGAAACTTTGGCGTAGTGTAGCACATAAAAACAGACAGTCTTCATATTTATGTTTATAATCTAGACTTGAAATGTGTGCAGCTATTGATATGGGCGCAGCTTTTCACCCCCCCCTCGCCCGTGACTATCTCCACATGACTTGCAGAAGCTGAAAACTGGGGTCCTTGCCTTGTGTTTTGTTGTTTCTTTTTTTTTTTTTTTTTTTTTTTTTGGTTTTTTGAGACAGGGTTTCTCTGTGTAGCTTTGCGCCTTTCCTGGAACTCACTTGGTAGCCCAGGCTGGCCTCGAACTCACAGAGATCCGCCTGGCTCTGCCTCCCGAGTGGTGGGATTAAAGGCGTGCGCCACCACCGCCCGGCTATTGTTGTTTCTTAATTTGCTCCTATATCCACAATATAACAGTGGGTTTTATATTGTCGACCACAGACAGCCTTCATTAGGTATCCGGGAAACCCCATTATAGCTGCATCCCCAGACTCCCTCAGAAACAGGCTACTGAAGAAACCAGAGCAGAGAGGGGTTGAGGGTGGGAATAGAAGACCCACTCTTCTCTTCGACCATTCCTGTTTACATGTAAATCCAACTGGTTTCTAGTAGGCTCCAGGAGCTTAGAACGGTTCTTGTTTTTTTGTGGCCAGATTAAAGGATTAGGGATTTTCAGAAAGGCTGAGGATGTATCATGGCTTAGCTGCGAAAAGGTCAAGAGTAAGTTGATAGCTATACGGAAACGTAGAGAATGAAGCTAAGGATAAAGCAGAAGTCTTAAGGTGTCCCAAAGCTGGCAGAAAACATCCAACACAGGCTGGTTTTCGTTATGGAAGTGGCTTCACGGACTAATTCAAGGGATAGAGAAGCCCAACAGGATCTGGGGCTCCTTCACAAAATGCCCCCCAAGACATCCCACCAGTAGAACAGCTAGTGTAAAGCCAGGTCCACAAGGTATGCAACCCTCCCCTGGGGTTTCTGTGAGCGGGTGTAGAGACTCTCAACTGGAGCCCCACTTTTGCAGTGATGCAAGCCAGTGAAGAGAACAGCGTCTCATTTCAGGCTCCCTGGTACTATAAGGACAGCCTCCAAGCTCTCTTCTTTGCTCTTGGAGTGTAAACCTAGTGTAGGCTTTATTCCCTGAAGGTGGGGGTAGTGTCATAGAAACAGAAATTGAGTGTTCATTGACTCAGTGCTGGGTACAAGTAAGAGGATATGAGTGATTTATCCGTCCGTCGGTCCGTCCATCCATCCATCCATCCATCCGTCCATCCCATACTTACTGAGCAAATTTCACAGGCCAGACACAAGACTTAATTCTGGGGCTGCGGGAGAAGGTAAACAGAGGGAACGCAGTCCCCATTTTCAGGAAACTGAAAAAAAAATCAATAAAGGAGAGTGATACTGAGCAATAAATTCACAAATAAATTTAAAGTTATAGTCTATTGGAAATGCTAGGAAGAAACAAATAAAGTGTCTTGAGAGTGTCAGAATTCATATAAGGTCCTGAGGAATTGGCATCAGACAAAAACTATGATCAGAGGTGAGGGGTCCTTAAGTCTCCTCTCTGTGAAACTGCAAGTCTGACTGTTTCCTAATTCTGAACAGGGGCCTATCTAACAACGTCTGTGAATCTTCTGGACTCTGGTGTTCTTCGGTAATAAACCAGGGCCCTCTATGTCCAGATAAGAGGAAAGATAGTTTGCCAGAGTGTCTGCGGTTTCCCAAAGAGACTAGTCCAAGCTCTGGAAGAGTCTAGCTCAGCTTTCATGTCAGGGAAATTGATGACCATCAAACCGTGCACAGTATAAGGGTTCTCTTGCTATCTTGTGCAAACACTGAGAATTTCACAGGAGAAAAATGTGGAAACATGATGTAGAGATGCAGATGGAGACCAAGCTAGACATATCTACTGAAGGTTGAACATGATGACAGTTTAGAAATTAGTGGGCAATGACATCGAGACCGAATAATTTGTTATTAGGTGGGAAAAAAAAATAAATCAGTAAAAGCAAGGACCCTTACCATGAGCATCTTATGCTAATTTAAAAACACACAGTAGTTTCTCTTATCCAGGGGTTCACTTCCCATGGTTTTGCTTATGCACAGTCAGCAGTGGTCCAAATCTATTAAATGGAAAATTCCGGAAGTGAACACCGTGTGCACTTTAAAGTGCTTATTGTTATGAGTAGCAGGATGAAATCTTTGCTATCGGGCCTTGTCCTTTCTCATGTATCCACGCAGTGGGTGCTACCTGCCCATTACTTCTCTTGGTCTTCAGTTATCACACCCACTGTTACTATACCATGTGTTCATACCATACTCCATCTACTCAAAAATTTCCTGAAGCACAAGAGTAGTGATGCTGGGAATCGCGAAGCCCCAGGGGAGCTGTTATGTGCTTCTCCCAAGTATCATCTCCCTCACAGGAGAAAGATGAGCACAGCACCAACAGATACTTTGAAAGGAGACCACACCTGCATATGCTTATTCTAGTATGCTGCCCTAATTGCTCTACGTTATCATTTGCTGTTATTCATCCTTTACTGTGCGGAGTTTATTAATTAAAGCTTATCGTAGATGTGGAGCTGCAGGGACAGGAAACCAACATGGGCAGGGTTTGGAGCAATATAAGGTTTCAGTCATCTGCTGGGGTTCTTGGGCTGCACCCTCTGAGTGATTAGGGACTGCTGTATAAGTTTGTACTAAACTCTCTAGACAGGGCCTTCCTTTTGCTCTGAAAATTGGAGTTTGCTATGGGTTTCGTTTCTTGCAGAAACCACACACAATTTGTTTTCTTCCTTCCAAATAGAAGAAAGAAGACACTGTGAGACAGTTTGAGGCTCAAGCCCTTCGAGATTTCTTCAGTTTATCTTGACAATATTTCACAGTTATTTGTCATAATTCCATGACTAAAATAATTTTCCTTTATTGAGTCTACTCAAAGTAGTAATGAATTTGCAAGTGTGTGTGTGTGTGTGTGTGTGTGTGTGTGTGTGTGTGTGTGTGTGGTAGTAGGGATTGAATATAGAGGGTCTTGCATGCTAGGCCCACACTCTACCACAGAACCTTTTTTGTTTTGTTTTGAGACAGAGTCTCACTATGTTAGCCACCACAGCCTTGAACTTTTAATCCTTCTGACTCATTTTCCTGAGTGGCTGGGATTACAGACCCAGCCTAACTTGCTCTATAATAGAAGGAACTGTGGTTCCCCATATGTAATTTAATGGATTGCGTTTTGAAGTAAATGCCAGGATTACAATGAACACATAGTTGGCAGCATTTTGTTGGAGAAATAAACACATCGTGGTGTAAGCATGTGCCTTGGATGGTAGGAGCAGAAGTTCAGCAGTGACATGAATAATCACACCTGTCACTAACAGCCACGGTGTCTACCATGTGCCCAGCACTGCACTACACACTTTGTGTATTAACTGTTGAGGATCCAAACATCTAAAACCTAAATGCTCGAAATCTGGCAATTTCTGAGCGTCACATCAGATGTTAGAGCACTTTAGATGTTTATGACATTTCCGATTTCAGAGCATTTGGGGATTTTTAGATTTTTCTGAGTCAGGATATTCAACCCATTGCGTCTGTGCGTGCACTGGAGTGTCCGAGCCCTCTAAAATCTACAACGCTTTTGATCGGAAGCATTTGTCTATTCAACCTGTGTCCATTCACCCCTCACAACAACTCTATAAATAGACGTTGTGAGTTCCATGCTTAAAACGGAGGGGGAGGTGATGAGGGCTCCAGAGAGCCTCTACTAGGGAGCACCCCAGCGTGTCGTGAGCATCGGCCAATAGAGTCGCAGAGAATGGGGACCTCAAGCAAGCTGGTTCATTAATAAAGCTCCTCATCCATTCAGCACCAAGCACTCCCACAGGAGTTGTTAGAACATTCCAGTCTTTCCAAGGTCCTGAAAAACAGAGTGTGTTCAGCTCTCAGAGTTTAACTTTATGATCTCTCCTGAAAGGAGGAGAGAGAGAGAGAGAGAGAGGATAGTTTCTATCTGTGTAGAGAAAGCGGATATTTTTTGTATCTGCACAAACTCTGAAATATATCCAATAAACTAATGAAACTATTTCCCCATAGGGTGGGGAGTGAGAAGAGGCTGGAGTAAATACTGGGAGAGCTGGAGCAAGGCTTGACTCTAGCTGTCTACTTTTTCATTCTTTTCCTTCGTTTTGACTTCTGAAGCCGCGTGCACTTATTACCTATTTACAAGCAAACTAGGATGAGGTGACGGCGTGACCAGAGCATATGTGAACAGCAGGGTACTCGAGACAAGTATCAAGTGAGAAGCCAGGCAAGGAGGAGAGAGCCACGGGCAGAGAGGGCAGATGGGAAGCCGGGAAGAGAGAACAAAATGACAGGCAGGCCGCCAGAAGCCAGGGAGCTGAGGAAGCCAAGAGCCAGGGGGACAGCCAGCTCCTGACAGGTGGGTCAGGGAAGCCAGGCAGCCTGGGGGTTATTCCAGGACAGAGATGGACTGACTGCCTTTCAGCAAGACCCTGCTCTTCTAGAGGTGTCACCTAGCCAGGGAGGAGGCAGGGGAGGGGAGGAAATGGGCTTGATTGGGTGGCGACCATTGTCACAGAGCTAGTGCTTAGAAACGCCATTAGCTTAGGCACACACACAACACCCGTGGAGAGGGCTTCCGTGATGTGTATTTGTCTCTTCAGAATCTCAGCCTTGATGGATTGGGGAAGGTGAAGATTCTCTCTCTCTCTCTCTCTCTCTCCCTCATCCATACCCCCCCCCCCCCCCCCCCCCCCCCCCCCCCCCCCCCCGTCTTTCTCTCTCTCTGTTTCCTGTGGCTCAGACTGGCCTTGAACTCACAGTGTAGCTGACGATGACCTTGAGTTTCCTACCTTCCTGGCTCTTCCTCTTGAGTGCCGGGGTTATAGACTTGTACTGCTCTGCCCGGTTTATGTGGGGCTGGGGCTTGAACCCAGGGCTTTGTGTATGTATCAATTAGCCCCCTCACCCTCGCATCTTCATTTTTAAATTTAGCAACATATTTTTGTCTTCAGGCTTTGCCCCCTTTTTCAATTTACATGGTAAGTAAAGCCATGCCCGAGGCTTGCTGGCTGGCCATCCCTCACCGGGAGGAGGTACACCTGGGCTTCTCCAGTCTTGATTATGAAGAACGCTGCAAGGAGCACCTTCACGCGCTTTACACATGCCACCCATTTTGACTCTGTCTCCTCTCGGATGCTTCAGGCCCTTCCCAGAAATGTGGACATTCAGTATATCACCTATTGCTGGTCTCTTGTCTCTGGCCATGACCTTTGACCTTGCTATACGTGCCTCCTCCTCAACGAATTTAACTTCTCCTCCTTATCAAATAATCTATATTTTAAGTTTCTCCTTAATCTACTTGCTGTTTACTCAATAAAAAAAAATACTTGGCCTTTTAGAACAAAATATTGAAGGAGAACAATTCTCAGCATTTTCGCTGATTCCAAAGTGTCGCCAACCTCAGCAGTGGATATTGGGTGTTTACAAGGGACGGCATAAAATCCTAAAGATGCGCTCAATGGGGAATTACCATTTTACAAAGGACAGTAGTTTCTGGAGACTAGGTGACTGGAACCAGGCTCACACAGTTGCTGACGAGCAGAGCTGGGTCTAGCCCAAGTCCACCTGACCCTACAGCGGGCTCATCCACTGAAAACCAGAGCGAGAGGCTGGTGGCAACCTGAGTTAGGTCAGGGGGTGGGGTGTCTTTGTAAATAACCAGGTCCCAGCCCCAAGGCTGTCTCAACCCTTTGCTCTTCCCTCTAGCTTCCAGGAAGATTTCTATTATAACGACACAGCTGGATACTTCATTATTGGAGGGAGCAGATACGTGGCTGGCGTCGAAGGATTCTTTGGACCCGTGAAATACTATCGCCTCCGCAGCCTACACCCAGCACAGGTGAGCCTGGAGGAATCAAGAAGTTTGCCAGGAGTGTGTGTGTGTGTGTGTGTGTGTGTGTGACGGTGGGCTGCTGTGGGCAGGAAACACAGTGTAAACAAAAGATTTACCCAAGCGGACTGAACCATGCCTGGGCTCAGCCACCAAACATAATTAATATTGAGGCTTCCCCTGAGCCAGCCCAATAATAGATTTCTGTTACCGTGCGGTTCATTTAGTACTCATAAAATGGAAACCATTTACTTCCTCTGTTTTAATAACTACTAGCTTAATTATAGAGTAGATTTTTATCAGGCTGTTGCCTATCCAGTGATTAAGCTAATGAAAGGAGAGAATCTCTGTTCTTTGGTAAAGCTTCTTTCCTACGCAATTATTTAAAGTATCGGAAGACGCGATACTCCAGCAAATTAAAGCCATGGTGCCCATCCGCCAGTCCTTCACTGATCTCAGCAGAAGCCCATCCTCAGCTCATGCTGGGGTGGGCCAGAGCACAGCAGGCCAGGCTGAAGAGGACTTTGGATCCCAAGCTGAAGTTACTATACCTAGAGCACACATTCTAACACTCCCGCAGAGGGCTGTTCCACACAGGACTCCCTACCATGCAGCCTCGTCACAGATTGGGGACCCCAGCAGATGTCTGAGAGGGGATTCTTTCCCCATTCCCTTGACCTGTGGGGTCCACACAAAGACACAACAAGAACAGATAAGACGCCTGGTTCCCTGTCTTTGAGACGTCAAGGAGAAGAAAACTCATGTATTCATTTTTTTGGTAAACACTTCAGAGTACCTACTTTGTGCCAGACCCTGGGTAAGCAAGATGGATTAGGGTGATTTTCAAACACTTTGCTGTTGTGGCATGCAGTGGTGCACACCTGTAATGCCAGCCACCTGCAGGTTGGGGCAAAAAGATCAAGAGCTCAAGATCCAGTTTGATGCCAGCCTGGGATGCAGGAGATCCTGTCTCACAAAAACAAAATAATATTCTTTGGTACTAGGGTTTGAACACTGGGCTTTATACTTTCTAGTAAACACTTTGCCACTGACCTTTCTCTCCACATTTAGACTCTTTCCTTCCTTAAAAACATAAAAAAAAAAAAAAATGGGAGGGGACAAGTTTTCAGTAACTTGTCCAAGCTAGCCTTGAGTTCACTCTGGAGTTCAGGCAGACTTTGAACTTTTGATCCTCTTGCCTCAGTCTACTGAGTAGATATGGTTACAGATGTTTGTCAACAGACCCAGCTTTAAAAACTGTTTTGAAGGTAGTCTATTTAATATCATGAATAACACACATTCCCCCCCCCCAAACACACATATCTGTGTATTAATATATTAATCTGGCCGGGCGGTGGTGGCGCACGCCTTTAATCCCAGCACTCAGGAGTCAGAGCCAGGTGGATATCTGTGAGTTTGAGGCCAGCCTGGACTACCAAGTGAGTTCCAGGAAAGGCGCAAAGCTACACAGAGAAACCCTGTCTCTAAAAACCAACAAAAAAAAATATATGAATCTGAAATAAAAATTTTACTAAGAATACCTATGCCTCCTGGGTGCAATGATGCACACCAGAAGGATTTGCTGAAGGAGGTGGAGGCAGGAGGATCGTAAGTTCCAGGACAGCCAGGCCTACAGAGAGAAACCCTGCCTCGAAAAACCAAAAAGAAAAAAAGAAAAAAATCCTCCTCCTCCTCTGATGTGTTCTAACGTTTTGGATCCTTCTGTATAAAAACAAAAGAAACCACTGCTGTTTACAACCAGTGAGCCCAGCTCATGAGTCTCTCTCTCTCTCTGTCTCTCTCTCTCTCTGTCTCTCTCTCTCTCTGTCTCTCTCTCTCTCTCTCTCTCGTGCAGACGTGCACTTGAAAACATGCAGAGTCAAGACTAAGTCCCCTGGTCCCGAAGGGCTTGCTCTTCAGGAGTTTGACCTGTTTGTCATAGAAAGTCCTTGAGTTAATTCCCATGTGTTTGGGCTCACTGAGGTGCATGTGTGCATCTGGCCACATTTAGGGCTGTAAGGAATTGTGCTTTGGGGCAGTGGCCCTGCGTGGGCTCTTGCAGACTGAGGGGCTACCAGGCAGAAGGAAGGAGGGCCTCAGGTGGCAGGCACAGCTTGGGTAGAATTAGCATCGCCGGGTAAGATTTGGAAATGGAGATAAATACGATTTTCTGCATTTCTGCATGTGGAGGGGGACAGGTCTCCGGGTCACACTGATGTGGAAGGAGCTTTGCAGATGAGATGGTGGTACACCAGAAGCCGGAGCTGGCATGGCCTTGAGTTGATCCTCATGGCATTAGTTTGCAAATCCAAGTGAGATGGTGGCTGGTGATGTCAACCAGAGACCTCCGTCAGCTAAACACACTTGACTTTGTACTAGCCAGTGGACATTTGATGACTTGTCATTCATGCGATTTCTTGCCCTTCCTGCAGATTCATAATCCCTTCCTTCAGAAGGAGCTGGCTGAACAAATCAAGTTATATTACGAGCGGTGTGCTGAGGTCCAAGAAATCATATCTGCGTATGCTGCAACAGTCCAGGTCGAGGGTGAGAGACGAGAAACATGTAAGTATGGAGCTTGGGAGGGGATTTTAAGCTCGGCATTTGCATGGACATGCTTGGCTTTGCTCTGGGGGCGACTGAAATAGAAACATACCCCATGTACCACTTGGCCCAGATACCAGCAGGATCGGGTGTACCTGAAGCCTTCCACAGATGGATAGGAACCAGATGGTGCATTCCACCTTGATCCCCACCCCCTCACGCCCCCCAAAAGCACAAGCAGCATCCAAGAACTAAACTGGTCAGAGCTCCAACCATACCTGATCTTATTTAAGAATACAGACGAATGAGCATATTTTGAACCTTGCCTGGAGTTCTCTTACATAGAAGGCCAGTCTGAAAAATGGAAATTAATCACTAGAAATCACTGTACACAATGGTGTACTTTTGTCTTAGGCCATTAATATCTGAACAATGGCTTTCCTGTCGGGGGCCCTGTTTTATTCTTAAATTCTCAGAATCAGCTCAGGAGGGCACTGGTAAATTGGATAGAAGGGATGAATCTCAAGTAGACTGCTGTTCATGGTGCCCATGTTGCCCAGGGCCTCCTTCCTCACTCAGGGTGTGGCCAGAGTTTGGTCCTGTCTTGTCTCCCTGGGTCCCAGCTCAGATTTAGCACTTGTAAATTTTTCTGTGCTTTAGATTTCCATGTTGGATGTGGTGACGCTGTAGTTAGTCACACATATTCCTTCTGGAAAAGAAATTCCTGTGAGATGTTTGCCGTCAGCAAGGGCAAGTTCTGTATCTCAATCTTGCCTGCTTGTCTTATGCACCCCCAGAGTGGAACTTGCAGTCCCAGGCTAGGGGAAGCGGGGTGCATAGATGTATCCCAGTCATGCCCCGGTCACACAGCGGTTGGAGAGGGTGCTCAACACTCTGCAGCTCTATTCAAGAGCAGATGACCAGGCTAGCGACATAGCTCAGCAGGGAAAGGCACCGACCACCAAACCTGCCAACCTAAATTCAGTCTCTGGGATCCACAGGGTAGAAGAAAAGAACCGACTTCCTAAGGCTGTCCTTTGATCTCTGCTTGAGTACTATGGTACACACAGGATCCCCCACCCTCCACCTACATGCACCCATAAAATAAATAAACAAAAATCTAAAATTTAAAAAAAAAAGCAAAGCCTGGATTACCTTGGGCTAAGGAGATGGCCCAGTTGGTAAAGTGGTCGCAAGCACGAGGACCTGAGTTCCATGCCCAGAACCCACATAAAAATTCAAACGCGATGTCACTCACCTGTCTTCCCAGTGCTGGGGAGGAGGAGACTGGGGGGGGGGGCGGGGGGGCAGGGGGCTCTCTCTGGCCAGTCAGGCTAGCCTAAGTGGCAAGCTCCCAGGACACTGAGAGACCATATCTTTACAGGATAAATGACATGTCTGAGAACGACACCGAAGATTGTCCCCTGCCTCTACATGCCTGTACACACGTCTATGCACACCCGCCCCTGTTCACCCCCCTCCCATACACATGGGAGCACAAAAAAAAAAATGAAAAAGAATAGATTGTCCTGATCAGCTGCTCCACTTACTGCTGAATCATACAGAAACATAGATGCTGCCAGGAGAGGGGGCAGACACACAGGAATAGTAATGTCCCAAAGAGGAAACGCTTTGGGATAATTTACACGGCACCAGGACAGAGACCGGGAGTCCAAAAGCCAGCCCTCTGTGCTGACCTGTTTGGTGGCATCAGGGAGATTTTCCTAGTCTTCAACGGCTCCACCTGAGGTGGGGGGAGTGGGGAGTAGCGGGGAATTTGGACCTCCCTCTTCAACATACACACCAACAAAATGGCCTAGCTATTGGCCTCCTGGGGGCAAGTCAGAGGCCAGCTGCTCATTCTGTAGAATTAGTCAACAGCCATCATCAACATCCTTGGCATGTTCTCTTGGATTTGGTTCCCGGTGCTGACCCCAAGGCAGGGCTGTCACAGCCAGTTTCAAATCCCCGAAGGACCCAAGCCAAATCCAGGACCATTAAGCCTGACCTCCTATTCCAAGCTCCCCTTGGTGGGGGGGACAACAGTTTTTAGAGGGATAACAGCTTTGCTGCTCCTGAGGGGGTGATGTCTTGTACTTCTGTGTAGGTGACGTCTATAACTCCTACCTGGACCTCAAGCGCAGGTATGGAAGGGCGGAGGTGTGCAGAGCGTTGCCCTGGGAGAAGGAGCTGAGAGACAAGCACCCCAGCTTGTTCCAGACGATACTGCAGATGGACTTGCGAACTGGTAACCAGGCCCCTGCCTAGGCTTGGGGTGCTAGCTAGAGAGGCGCCCTGCTTTTCCGTCTCACTCTCTCTCTCTCTTGGTGATTTATGCCTTGATGTTATTTTTAACCCTAGTGTTCTAGTTTAATTTCAGATTTAAATTCTGCCCTTGTGTGTCCACAGCACTGAATATATCTATGCACATTTCCCAAAACTTAAATGTAGGGTTCACTCAAGCGATTCTTTATCGAGAGCCAGGGCTGCAGACGGCGGACAGGCCGCCGCCACAATTGGCCTCCAAATGGAGTTAGTGTGCAAAATACCTTTTTGTGTATTTTGAAAAGAATTTCATTATCGGTATCTAAAAACTTTCAGAAAAATGCAAATTTCTAGCTTTACTTGAAAAAAAAAATTCAAAGATGTAGCTGCCCTGGGCCTCTGTTCCTACAGTCGGTGATCCCGGAGGGAAGGCCCAGGTTCGGGGAATGCTGTCTACCCACAGCCCCTCCTCTCTGATTTCCCCTCCTGCCCTCTGCCATCATGAATCTAGTCTGCTGGGCCCTTAGGCGTTTGAACGTGAACCTCCTGATCCATTTGAATTTGCTTAGTTAAGTACACACTGTGGGGCCAGAGGGGATCTGGAAACCATGCCTGTTAGAAAGAGGAGACGGTCACATGGGGAAGCACACCACGCAGGTCCACACGTAGGTCCCGGTGATAAAAAAGACTCATTGTGTTCCTGGATACAGAAGCAGCCCTGAGTCGAGGAGATGAGAGAATGATCTCCTAGGAATGGCAGTGTCCCAAGGCATGGACTTTATAAAGTGACCCTACCCACGCTAGAAGAATTCAAGCTGTACAGGATATTTGATCTTCTACTCTTTCATATTGACTGAGGGATGGCTCCGGTCACTTACCTTGTTTGAAGAGGTGACCCGAAGGTCCCTCCTCTTGAGTGATGGGCTTCAAAACAAAGACACACTGTAAGTCACTTTAGGCAAAGCAATGGAAGGGAAAACACAGAGAGAGGTGTGGCTGCTTCTGCACCCAGGTGTCCCAGAGGGCTTCCTGGAGGAGGTCACATTGTGACTGCTTCTGGAGGCATTTTCCAGATGAGAGAGGCAGGAGTAGATGCTTGAGGCAGGGAGGAGGGAACAGCACAGAATGCTAAGGGACTCCTATGAGATGGGAAGCCAGAGCTGACCAGGGGAATGACTCCGGCAAAACTCGGTCACCAGCTGAAATCTGTGTGGCTTTCCCTTTTAGGTGCCTGAAACTTGTTGGAGGGCATTAGGCTGTGGCTGGAATGTAACCAGAGGGTTTTTCTGATCTTCCTCTGGGAGCAGTTGCGCGTAGGGAGGTGAGCTAGAAGAGTATGGAGCAGGGATCGGACTGCACAGTCTTTGGGAGAAAGGGCAGAGGCCTGAGTAGGCCGGAGGAATGGAGACAGAGCCAAAGGATATGACCAAGGTGGCTTTGTAGTACCCATGTCTGCTGGGTGATGTGAAGAGCGTCATGCCCTGTGACATCGGCGTCTCTGGAGCTGGGTGACCTGGTTCCAGTTCATTTAACATTTACTCACTGTGTGCTCTTAAGCAAGTGTTTGTTTTTGCTGAGCCCTGGGTTCCTCATCTACACACTGAGTGTAGTGGGTGGGGGTGGGGGTGGTGGTATTGGTAGAGGTGGTGGTGGGGGTATTGGTAGAGGTGGTGGTGGGGGTATTGGTAGAGGTGGTGATGGTGATATTGGTAGAGGTGGTGGTGGGGGTATTGATAGAGGTGGTGGTGGGGTATTGATAGAGGTGGTGATGGTATTGGTAGAGGTGGTGATGGTATTGGTAGAGGTAGTGGTGGGGTATTGATAGAGGTGGTGATGGTATTGGTAGAGGTAGTGGGTGTATTGGTAGAGGTAGTGGTGGGATATTGATAGAGGTGGTGATGGTATTGATAGAGGAGGTGATGGTATTGGTAGAGGTAGTGGGTATATTGGTAGAGGTAGTGGTGGGGTATTAATGGAGGTGGTATGGTATTGGTAGAGGTGGTGGGTGTATTGGTAGAGGTGGTGAGGTATTGGTAGAGGTGGTGATGAGAGCCTTCTGTAGCAATCCTTCCCTCCTAGTTCAGTGAGTTGACATGCATGTGAAACACTGGGGGTGAGAATGGGGACGTAGTTAATTGGTAGAGTGCTTGCCTAGAATGTGCAAGGCTTTGATCCTAGCACTAGAAAAAAAAAATCATTCGCGACTTAGCCCTTTGGAAGAAGCATCTCTCATCTTCAAACCTATCGGGCTGGAATGGTCTTTGTTTTGGGGTCCTCCTGTGCATGGTAGGATATTCTGCTACGTGTTCCTCTGCATTCAACTACTACCAGCCATGCCCACTCCTCTCCTCCAAAACACCTCTAGACGTTGACCAATCCAGTGTCTCCAAGAAGCCCAGTCAGCCCAACTGCTATGATGAGTGAGAAGAGGTACCCCATGTTTTCCCTGAGCCCCTGTGAGGTGGTGGAGTTGCCTCACACCTAATAAATACCTGAGGAGAGGGAGTGCGCATTGAACACCGCGGAGTTTAAACCGAACTTCTGGCCACATCTACCAAACCCCGTGCCTGTGATTTCTGATTGTAGTTAAATATAGATGCACTGGTGGGGAGGAGGATCGAGGCATCTGCACAATACATTCTTTTTAAAGAAAATACTCTCAATACAAATGTTTTCCTGTTATTTTTACAGCTCACGGTTTTGTTTATTTGAATTTAGGACTATTTTATTCTCCATGGAGGCCTGGAAATAGAATCAAATAAAAAACTCACATCATGAGCCTGTAGGACAGCTAGCTCTAGCAAGTCCCGCCAGCCAGCCGAGGCCAGGCTGCTGTGGCCCTCAGGAGAGGAAGGAGAGCCCCCTCCCCGCCCCTGCCCCCCCATCTCCACTCCCCAAAGCCAGATGTTCCACCCTGAGACTGACTCTGCTAGACCTGTCAGTCAAATGCAGATTTCAGGCCAAATGAGATCACTGGGAAGTGGGAAGCGGGAAGCGATGGCCCCAGGCTCTGCATCTCTCCTGAAACCCTGCCCTCAGCCTCCTAAGGGCACACAGTCCCTGCTTGCCTCCTCTGCCTCTCCCTGGGGAACCTCAGAGCAGGGGGATGCAGGAGACAGTAAATTTCCGGAGCCAGTACCCCTTTCTGCCAGAGGCAGCTGCTTTTCTAGGTTGGGTTGGAAAGGCCCCGAAGCCTCCTGCAGAGGCAGGGTACACATGCCATCGAATTCCTCTCTGCCTGGCATGGTGCCCTTGCTTGGGGCTGTAATACCATCATCTGGCTAACCCAAGAGAGAGCAATTGGTGTCATATCTCGTACCCAGCTTCCTAACAAGGTTGAGAAAAATGCAGAAAACTTGATTTTGAAAATTGAAGGTAGAAAATCAGTTTACGTGTTTAATGGACCTTTGCTATGGTCTCTTATCAAAAGAACGTCAGTCGGCTGCTCTGCCCGTGTTCCTGGTCTCTGGGATACCCTTGTTGACAAGGTCATCCTTCTGTTAGCATCTGGCTAGCCCCAGCATGCTCCTCACAACTCATTTGTAGAACATGTGTCTGCATCCTCTCTTGTTCTGCTGCCCTGGCTTGTCTTGTCTTAGTGATCAGTAGACTGGCGTAGACCTCCCTTCACTACGGTTTGCATGTGGCTTCTCCCACGAGGCTTGGTCACTAGGGTGGCATTGTGGGAGGGAAGGGAAGTTTCAAGAGATGAGTGTTAAGGGCCGGAGGAGTGGCTTAGTCAGTTAAGTAGTGGCTGTACAAGGATGAGGACCTGAGTTTGAATCCCCAGCACCCAGATGATGTGGCACATACCTGTAATCCAAGTATCAGAGAGGCAGAGATGGTGCTCGAATTTCCAAAGGTCTTATAATAAAAACCCAGAGCCTGATATTGGGGTACATGCTGAAAGATCAGAGAGACAAAGGAACAAGCTACAGCCAATACCTCTTACCTCACCAACTCCTCAGCCTGAAAAGGCTTCCTAGCCGAAAGGCCTCTGACCGAAAAGCCTTTAGTTGCTGTCTCCTCATGCCTTGTATACCTTTCTCCGCCCAGCCATTTCACTTCCTGTCTCCACCTCTCTAGTGTTGGGGTTAAAGGCGTGTGTGCTTCCCAAGCAAAGGCACGAGATCTCAAGTGCTAGCATTAAAGGTGTGTGCCACCACTGCCTGGCTCAGTTTCTCTCCTAGACTGAGTCAATCTCATGTAGTCCAGGGTGGCTTTGAACTCACAGAGATCCAGATGGATCTCTGCCTCCCGAGTGCTAGGATTAAAGCTGTGTGCCGCCACTGCCTGACCTCTATAAACATAGATGGCTTGTGCTGTCCTCTGATCTTCAGGCAAAGTTTATTAGGGTACACAATATATCACCACACAGAGACGGGAGGATCTGTAGGGGTGACTGGCCACGTGGTCTTGCTGAATTGGTGAGGTCCAGGTTTGGGTAAGTGGCACAATCTCAAAACTTAAGGTGGGGAGAGTGAAGAACTTTTGGCTTCCATGCATGTGCATACAAGTGCATGTGTACCCTCGAACGCATGCCTGTCCATGAAACATGCACACGAAGTAAGTACTAGTGGGAGGTCTCTTGGACACTCCAGGCACTGCCCTCAGAAGGGATTGTGGTTGTTCTCATGGGATCTCCGAACTTTAAAGAGGCTCAATTATTATGAGAGCAAGTCCAGACACGGACTCTCTCCCTAGACTCCTGTTTGGCCATGTGGCATCTCTCACTTGCACAAGCTCCCACCGTGAGATGGTCCCCAGGGCCAAGCTGATGCCAGCCACATTCCCTTGAACTTCCAGAGCTGTGCCTTAAACCAAACCACTCCTCCTGAAAAAAAAGTGCCATGCCCAGAGCATTTCACTTACAGTAATGCAAAGCAGCAGATGTGTGCATCACATTGCACTTCCCACATCTGAGACAGGCTATGAAAATGGACTTGAACGGCAGATGTTGAACGCTTGAGACTTTTGCCATAG